GCAAATTAATGAATAATAAAGTTTTCTAAAGTTGACTGGCCATTCAATACGTAAAAAAAAAAATGCACATTATGTTACTGTATTTTCTAATGCACATTATGTTACTGTATTGCGCATGTTAAGTTTTTTTTTTTTATTTGCCACGGACTATAGTTTAAGTAGATAACGAAACGCAAATTTTGTTGCAGTATTACGCATATTGAGCGTACGTATTGCGTATGTCAAGCTTTTTTCTTTGTTTTTAATTTTCAAGAATTGCTCTTTAAGAATAGTTTAATATAATTAATTTAATGGATGAGCCCACTGGCGAAATGGTAGAAATCTTTGATCAAATTGATTCCGCCCAGGATTGAGCCCCCATAAATGTTTGATTTTTTTTTATTATATTTTATTTGTTTTTCGTTTAACAAAATACAATAAACGCATGTTAAAGTGATATTTCGCGCTCTTAAATTGGTTTCCCGACGCACTCTAAACTTTTGGGTTCAAAAAATATCGTTTTTCGATAAAAGTTAATTAAATGTATATTTGAACGCATATTTGTTCTTGTCCTCCGCGCATTTAACAGAGCAAAGCAAAGCACATTAAGTGTTTTATAACAATCCACTTAATATTCGAAGATATTTGATGTCAAAACTTTAAGGTATTGGTAGTTGGGGAGACGGATAACATTGAACAGTTATTCAATGCCTTAAAAAACGTGCCCATTAACGCAACATTGAAATCTTCAAATTAGTTAATTGGACCAAGTTATTGGCCTATAAATTGGAAAGAACAACACACAACTGAGCATCAGTTTTCATTTGAAATGGCCACCTCTCACGTGTCCACACGTTCAGAAGAACCATCTCCTTTTATTCCTCATCTTGCATGCCCTCTTCACCCTCCTCGCCCTCCGGATTGTAGTGATTGTAAAGAAATACAAAGACAACACATTCTAAACCTGAAAGAACACTCGTCATCCTCAGCTGCAAGCTCGTCATGCTGCAACCAAACATCATTCAAGGCTGAGAGAGTTGAGGACATCCGACATCCCAAATAACACCTACGGCTGCCAGGAATCTATCATACACAGCAAGCTTAGAGACCACGAGCCTACATGCATCCACACTCCTTGCTCATGTCCAAATCGAGCTCCTGTGGCAGGCTGGCAGCATGTCGGATGATGCCGGAACTAAAAGAAATGTTTTCAAAGCACTAGAAAAGATGCACTGACATCCCATTGGTGTTGTTTCAATGTGTATTTACGTTTGCAAATACTAATGTATTAGATTGTAAATTATTATTTTTATTAATATAGAAACCAACGCTCATTGTGTTCCAATGTCACGCATTTTAAATTGATATGTCGCGCATGTTAAGTTCAAAGCATGTATGTGTCATTTTAAATGCAAATTATTTCATAATCAAACAAACGCACTTTAATTTTGCAATCGCGCATTCTAGACTAATTCTCAACGCAATGTCTGAGTAATTACGTTTTTATTCATAGACCAACGCACATTACGTTTACGTGTTACGCATATATAAACCGCAGTGTAGTGCACCTTTAAAGTGTAAATCAACGCATATTAAGAATTAAATAGAGGCATATTGCTTCCTTTTAGATTCGTTATTAGTAAGTAGGCAACATATATTTTGGTATACAAGGAATAAACGGACGAGCCGACTGGCGAAATAGTAGAAGTCTTTGAATATATCGAATCCGCCCAGGATCGAATACCCCCCAAAAGACTTAAAATATTTTTGGTCGGTAATCAACGCATCTAAAGACTTTGGTGTTTACGACGGACGAAAGATTTTATAAATAAACCATCGCACATTACGTCTACGTCTTACGCATATTAAAAACAAGCTATCATGTCTGCCCCTGTTGTTGTTATTAATAATATATTATAATCAAAGTAACGGATGATCCCATTGGCGAAATGGTAGAAGTCTTTGATTAAAATGATTCCGCCCAAGATTGATCCCCTGTAAAGACTTGAAGTTTTTATTATATTTTACTCCGTACTTGTTTTTTGTTTAATAAAATATAATACACGCATACTAGACTGATTTTTCGCGCACTTTAATTGGTTTCCCGACGCCCATTAAACTTTTGGCTCTAAAAAATCATTTATTTTCGATGCAAATTTATTAAATTTATATTTACACGCATGTTGTTCTTGTAGGTCGCGCATGTAACAGATCAAAGCAAAGCATATTAAGTCTTTTATACCAATCCACGTAACATTCAAAGATATTTGATGTCAGGACTTTAAGGCATTTGTAATTGGTGGGGGAAACGGATAACATTGAATGGTCATTCAATGCCTTTTAAAACGCACCCATTAAAGCAAATCTTGAAAAATCTAATGTGTCTGTAAATCACGCAACATTGAAATCTCAAATCAGTGCATGTGACCAAGTTATTCACCTATATATAAATTATTACAAGGAACAACACACAACTGAGCATCAGGTTATTGAAATGGCTATCTCTCACTTTTCCGCAAGTAGAGAAGAATCATCTTCATGTATTCTTCATCTTCTCTGGCATTTTCATTTTCATCGCCCTCCAGCTTGCAGTGACTTTAACTAAATACAAAAACAACACATTCTAAACCTGAAGCATCATTCGTCATTCTCTTCTTCAAGCTCATCGTCTAGTTTTCAAACAACATCCAAAGGCTAAGAGTTGAGCAATTGTGGGTGGCTGGTGATGTGTCGGATGCTGCCGGAACCAGAAGAAATGTCTTCAAAGTACTAGAAGAAATAAATATGTGCAATCGTTTATGTATGTATCATTTTGTCTGCAAATTATTTCATAATTCAACGAACGCACTTTAAGTTTTGCAGTCGCGCATATTATACTTATCTTTAACGCACATTATATTAACTAATAATTAAACGCATATTAGACAAAGAAAGTGTTAAATGTTGCATTTGTACGCATATTAACCTTTAATGTCGCGAAATTTAAATGTTAATCGACGCATTTAAAGACGTTGGCATTTACCACGGACCAAAGTTTATATACATAAACCAACGCACATTCTGTTTCTGTTTTACGCATATTAAGGCTTAATGTAGCGCATTTTAAAAGTGTAATCAACGCATATTAAGAATTAACTTTACGCAGGTAAAGTAGCAATAATACGCATAATAACGTGTTTAAGGTGCGCATATTAGTGAATAAATTGACGCATTTTCGTTCAATAATACCCGATCGAACATTTTCATATCAACAGTCACGTTCTGCTAGACTTAAAGTTGTCACATACGAACAGTCGCATTCGTTTAAGAATTCGCTATTTAAATCCACCATTATTCTCGACCCAAACCTGTCTCCTTCAAACACATTTTTGCTTTTCTACTCTACCTTGTAAAGAGAGTTTCAATGGCAGCCGAACCCCACACCGAAGTAGTTGGAAACCAACTCCGCATAGGACTGCGCTGGAATTTAATTAGGGTTCGAGTGCTACGAGTTGTTCGTTTGCCAGAAACTAAAGGTTCTGATAGAATCCGATCTATAGAGTGTGTACTTCACGATGTAGAGGTATTATTATTGATGCATATGTTTTTTGTGTTTTTTTTGTTTCTAAATAATTTCAGGGGACTTTTATTCATATGCACATTCCACAACCGTTTGCGCAAAGGCGCGTCAACAGATTTGTGGAAGAAAAAGCTTATCTACTCATTAGATTTGAGGTGGCCTATAGTACCTACAGAAACAAGACCTCTAGTCTCTGGTATATGCTGATGTTCTGTGAGAGAACTGGTGCAGTATTACTGAAAGACGATGCTGAGTTCCCAACATATGCTTATGACCGAGAAGATTATGATTTCGATCAAGAGGTGATCTACTGCATACTTACATTGTTTTTCCCCCCTTTTTTTTATTATATAATTTTATTGATGTATTTACAGTTTAGTAACTTTCACGATTTGATGGATGAACAGGTGCCTGACGCACCTGTTGGAAACTTGGCTAATGAGGATGTAATCAATGAGGAGGCTGCGTGATAAGGATGAATGTTGACGAAAATATCAAGATTTTTATGCGTATTATGTGACTACTTGTTGTTATTTTCGTCATACAATTTATTAATTAATAAAATTTATATATTATCCTTTTATGTCTATTATTTTATCATTAACGCATATTCTACTTGCTTTTTTTTTAATAAAATATAATAAACGCATCTTAGAATGATATTCCGCGCACTTTAATTGGTTTCGCGACGCACATTAAACTTTTGTATTTATTAATAAAATATAATAAACGCATCTTATAATGATATTTCGCACACCTTAATTGGTTTCCCGACGCACATTAAACTTTTGGATTTATTAATAATATATAATAATCGCATATTAGATTGATATTTCGCGCACTTTAATTGGTTTCACGATGCACATTAAACTTTTGGATTTAAAAAATTATTTATTTCGATGCAAATTAATTAAATTTATATTTACACGCATGTTGTTCTTTTATCATTTTGTCTGCAAATTATTTCATAATCAAATAAACGCACTTTAAGTTTTCTAGTCGCGCATATTAGAATTATCTTTAACGCATCGTATATTAACTAATAATTAAACGCATATTAGAGAAAGAAAGTGTTAAATATTGCCTTTGTACGCATATTAAGCTTTAATGTCGCGCAAGTTAAATGTTAATCGCCGCATGTAAAGACGTTTACCACGGACCAAAGTTTCTATACATAAACCAACGCACATTCTGTTTCTGTACTACGCACATTAAGGTTTAATGTAACACACATTAAAAGTGTAATCAACACATATTAAGAATTAACTGCACGCGGGTAAAGTAGTAATAACACGCACCTTAAGCTAGTAGCAGTGATTGTCTAAAAACAAATCAGTGATAAAAACAAAAACAAGTATCTCAACTGTAAAAAGCGTTCTGAAATGAGTTAACTAAGTAGTTGTGTTTCATATTTGCTATCCATTTTCGTTCTCGACTGTAAAGGCGCTGAAAAAATAGTCTGCTATGCCTTTTTCTTACCCTTTTGCTTGTCCTTATTTTTGGGGTTAAGTGGGCAAGTCCTTGTGTCATGGTGTTCTCCTCTAACACCACAAAAATTGCAATTCCTGCCCTCTTGTTTTTTCATTGCCAACTCCTTGCTGCTTTTGATACGCTTGCCACTGCCCTTGTTCCTTGCCTGTTTCGGTGGAAGTATGTTGATCTCTGAAATTTCTGTTGATCCACGATATGATTCTATAATAGTCCTCATGCTGTGCTGAGGGGACAATTTATCCTTTCCTGACAGTAGCAGTTATTTCTGTTCATTAATCACTTGGGAAAATGCAGTCAATTGCTCCATGTTTGAACCTGCCAGATCCATACAACAGTGTATATCATACCTCACTTTGTTCAGCAACATCTTCTTTTCATCCTTTGGTCCATTCTGATCGTAAATCACACCATCTATTTCAAATGTAGCTTTTAAAGATGCATCCTTAGTCCACTGATTAACCACGTACTTCAGAGGGATCCTTTCAAGGTCTCTAAAGACCACAAATATGTGTCTACACAACAGTCCAACCATCTCAAACATCTTGCAACTGCATTTGGCCTCATGGTCATTTACATTGTGCACCACAGTAAATCTTTTGTTCTTTCCATCCATAATATCATAGTGCAACATTCCACCGTCTTCTCTAACACTCAACACCATACATTTGAAACAGGAGGCACATATTTATTCCTGAACTTGATAGAAAACAGTAATGGTGTAGACGATTGATGCGTGCTTTTCAATCCCCAGAGGCGTCTTCATATCTGGATTGTAGCCTTCGTTGTCACTGTTGAGCTTTGCATTTGTGTTACGTTGTGATTTAAGAGCAGTGTCAAAGTTCATCATGAATTCAACTAGGCTTGATTGGGGACCAGTAAAACGGCTGTACGTGTAGTTCTCACTTTCGGAACGAGAAGTTGTCCGGAGTAGTCCTCCCATAAAGCCATCTCTAAAATACGCTGGGATCCAATGCTTTCTAGCCTCAAACATAGTTTTAAACCAGTTGTGTTCGACTAAGTTGTACTTTTCCATCAGCTCTCTCCACTGCTTCTCAAAATTAGGAGGTTCCAGAGATGACGTCCAAACGATTGAGTTCAGTTTGTTCCTGAATTCCTCATCCTTGTTCAGCATAGGACCCACCTTTTCCCCAACTTTACACATGATGTGCCACATGCAATAACGATGCCTGTCTTGCTTGAAAACTGTTGGAATCGCCACTTTCATAGCTGGATCTTGATCGGTGACAATTATTCTTGGTTCCATACCCATTGCCTTTTTAAATTTTTCAAAGAGCCAAACATAAGACTCAATGTCTTCTTTCAACAGTAGTCCAGCACCAAATCTTATACATTTTTTATGGTTTTCAACTCCGGTGAAGGGAGTAAAAACCAGATCGTACCTACAAGACAAAAAGCGTCATCACAGTATGCAGGTGTCAAACTGTTGCACTTAGAGAATTATAGTAACGCACAGTAAGTATTAAAATAGCACACGTATGTAATTGAGGTCTAATTCTGGAAATTCCGCATTTGTATTTCAATTATTTTTCAATAAAATAGTGAACGTGTCTAAATCTTAACATGTATCAACAGATCAGGCAATGCTAAATGTGTATTAATTAATGAAACGTACGCAAGAATGTGAATAGAATAGTATATACCTATTTGTTGAGTACGTGGCATCAAAAGAGACAACATCTCCAAATGCAGCAAAATTCTTTTTTGACATTGGATCTGCCCAAAACAGTCTGCTCATCTGCTCATCTTCATCAACCTCGTAGTCAAAAGCAAATGCAGGGCACATCTCTTGTTTCTTAATAAGATTATGCACCAGTATTTGTGCATCAGCTCCCAATATGTATGCTCTGAGATCCCTTCTGACATTTTTAAAGTCCACAACAGTTGCTCCAACTTCAGAGTAATCCCCCACAATATGACTATATAAACCGTGTGATTTTGATGCTCCAATATTTGCTTTAGCGCAGTCGAGTATAAACTTCTGGTGAGCACTGGAGATGTTTCTATTTCCCTTTAGAAACTGCCTTGCCAGAACCGAAGACATGTTGTGATTATGTTTTTCAATAAAAGTGGTAACTTGGTACCCAGCTGCTCCAATGTACTTAAACATAATCCTAGCTCTGCAACCAGTTCTGTTTGAAACCCTTCGCCGCTTTGGACGGGAAGGACCTTCCCCTGCATCTACACTTGACTGCGAGTGACAATGTTGAGCTCCTGTATTCTTAAATCCTTCTCTGTTGCAAACGATTTGCTTTTGAATTTTTGTCCCGTCACGTGCTGTAACGACGGAACTAGACCTCGTGTCAAACCCAACTTTGGAAGCATAATGTTTGAGAATTCAATACCAGCATCCAATGTTTTAAAAATCATGTCTACTGCTGGTTTGATTTCATCTTCACAGTGAGGAGTCCAATACTGTGTCATTCCAGGAGATATGGTCAATGTATGACCATTGCTGCTGCTGCTGGGACTCAAACTGGGGTTGTTGGTAGATTGAATGTCAATGGGAACTGTAACGTATAAGCATGAAGTTATGATTGTGTTGTTGCAAGCCTCTACGTGCGTAATGTGAACACTTAATATGCGTTAAGTTAATCAGATCATTGTCAATATGGAAGATTTATAAAATACTAGAGTATGTGCGACAAGTGAGAAATTAACGTGCTTTAGGGTAATATTTAATGTGCGAATGTGTAACAGTTAACATGTGTGAGTGTTTGTTAAAATATTATGTCATTACTTAACGTGCGTCAGAGAGTCCAGTAAGATAACATATATATATATATATATATATATATATATATATATATATATATATATATATATATATATAATCCTTAACCAAACAAGGTAATATTATATTACATAATCTAAACCAAACACATCAAGTAATTTTACATTCCTAAAATCTCACATTATCTTTCAGGAGGTAATCCTATTATCTGAGGTAATTTAATATTCCGTGAACTAAACGCCCCCTAAGAGTTTATGTGTATTATGTTAAGAGTTTATGTGTTAATGTTAGAAATTTATGTGTATTATGTATTATGTTAAGATTATATGTATTATATTATGAATTTATGTATATTTTACTATACAATTATATACATACTAAATAGAGTATTTTCAACTTTTCATTGTGCCTCCGGGTGCACGGTATAAGAATTGGCTTATGGGCTATTCTATAGGTATACCGTATACTTGTCTCCCGTGAACTCCGAAACAAAATATCTGATTTATTCGTTCATTCAATCATATATATCTATAATCTCCACACGAGACAAAAAATAATATTTAAAAAAAAAAAATCTTCAATTACAGGTTCGCTCTCCTGAATTCATGTTGTCTTTGGAATTGAATTGATTCTGGGTCGGAGGGGAGGGGAATAAGTTGAGAAGCCATGGCGTGCAGTGCAGGCGTGTTGAGCTTTGCTACACCGCTAATGCAAAAATCCAAGGTACGCCAAAGGCCTTCTACTTCTTCTTCTTCTTCTTCTTCTTTGGATTGCACAGCTTCGACTTCTTCTTCTGCTTCTGCTTCTGCTTCTGCTACCAGTACTACAAGTACTGAGCAAGATTCCAGAAACAAATTTAGTTATAGTAGAGCTTCTCCGTCTGTGAGATGGCCACACTTGACATTCACCGATACCCAACGCAATTCACAACGGTTCCAGTCTCCTCCACTCACCCCAATCGAAAATGATTCCGCGTTTGAGATAGAGGTGAATGACGAGAGCCAGGAGGAGGAGGATTTGGATGGGGGCAGGACTAGGGCTAGGAGTAGGACTAAGGCTAAGAAAATGACGAAATTGGCGCTGAAGAGGGACAAAGATTGGCGAAAGAGGGTTCAATTTTTGACCGAAAAGATTTTGCAGTTGAAATCCGAGGAGTTTGTGGCCGATGTGTTGGATGAGAAGTTGGTGCAGATGACCCCCACTGATTTCTGCTTTGTGGTCAAGTGGGTTGGGAAATCTAGCTGGCAAAGGGCATTGGAGATTTACGAGTGGCTTAACCTTCGCCACTGGTATTCTCCCAATGCTAGAATGCTGGCTACAATACTGGGCGTGCTTGGGAAGGCCAACCAGCAAGTGTTGGCTGTAGAAATCTTTACTAGGGCAGAGCCAACTCTTGGTAACACTGTGCAGGTGTATAATGCAATGATGGGTGTTTATGCTCGAAACGGCCAATTCCTTAAAGTTCAAGAATTGCTTAATTTAATGCGCAAACGAGGTTGTGATCCTGACCTTGTGAGTTTCAATACTCTCATAAATGCCCGCCTCAAATCGGGGCCTATGGCACCAGGTTTGGCAATTGAACTTTTAGATAATGTTAGGAGTTCAGGGCTTCGCCCTGACATAATAACATATAACACTCTTATCAGTGCTTGTTCGCGTGAGTCAAACTTGAAGGAAGCTGTAAAAGTTTTTAGTGATATGGAAACTAATAGATGTCAGCCTGATTTGTGGACTTATAATGCTATGATTTCAGTTTTTGGAAGATGTGGTCTGGCTAGTGAAGCTGAAAAGATTTTTAAGGATCTGGAGTTCAAAGGGTTTTATCCGGATGCAGTGACGTATAATTCGCTGCTCTATGCATTTGCAAAAGAAGGAAACCTTGAAAAGGTTAAGGAAACCTGTGAAGAAATGATAAAGATGGGGTTTGGAAAGGATGAGATGACTTATAACACCATGCTGCACATGTATGGAAAGAAGGGCCAACATGATTTGGCTCTGCAACTTTACCGAGAGATGAAGTCTTTGGGCCGAGATCCTGATGTAGTTACATACACTATTCTTATTGACTCGCTAGGGAAAACAAATAAGATGACAGAAGCTGCGAATATGATGTCAGAGATGTTAAATTCTGGGATTAAGCCAACTGTGAAAACGTATTGTGCTTTGATCTGTGGTTATGCAAAATCTGGGAGGCAAACGGACGCAGAAGAGATGTTCAATTGCATGACACGTTCTGGTATCAAACCAGATCGCTTGGCATACTCTGTTATGCTGGACATGCATTTAAGGTCTAATCAGACGAAGAAGGCAATGTTGTTATATCATGACATGATAAATGATGGATATGCTCCTGAACTTTCCATCTATGAGTCCATCCTAAAAGTATTGAGAAAAGAAAATGATGAAGAAGGTATTCAAAAAGTGATCACGGACTTGGAAGAACTGTGTAATTTGAGTCCAGAAGGCATTTCATCTCTACTTGTTAAGGGGGAGTGTTATAATCTTGCAGCCAAAATGTTGAAGTTATCCATAACACAAGGTTATAAACTGGACAAAGACAATTTGTTGTCTATTCTGGGATCTTATAGTTCATCTGGCAATCATTCAGAAGCTATAGAGTTACTAAATTTTGTGAAAGAGCATGTAGAAGAATCCCAGAAGTTTCTAAGTGAAGCAATGATTGTCATGCTCTGCAAAGCTAACCAATTGACTGCTGCTTTGGATGAGTACTTCAAAAGTAGCAACTACAGTTCACACAATGGTAGTTTTGCAGTGTTTGAGTACCTCATTAAGTGTTGCGAGGCAGATGAACGATTTGCTGAGGCTTCTCAAATATTTTCTGACATGAGAGCTAGTGGGCTGGAACTTTCTCAGGATGTTTACAGAACCATGGCTACTATCTATCTGATGATGGGTTTCCCAGAGACAGGTCATTATTTGGTCAATCAGGCAGAAGCACATGGCATTCCTATTGATGATGTTTCCATTTATGTTGGTCTAATTGAGGCTTATGGGAAATTGAAGCTACTAGAAAAGGCTGAAGATGTTGTGGCAACTCTGAAGCGGAGGTGTAATGTTGTGGATCGCAAGGCTTGGAATGCATTAATACAAGCTTATGCTGTAAGTGGCTTGTATGAGAAAGCAAGAGCAGTTTTCAACAGAATGATGAGAGATGGTCCCTCTCCTACAGTGGATACCGTCAATAGTCTCATGCAAGCATTGATTGTTGATGACAGATTAAATGAGCTATATGTTGTGATACAGGAACTACAAGATATGGGTTTTAAAATTAGTAAGAGTACCATCATTTTGATGCTTGATGCATTTGCAAAGGCGGGGAACATATTTGAAGTAAAGAAAATATACCATGGAATGAAGGCTGCTGGGTATTTTCCTACCATGCATCTTTACAGAGTGATGATTGGGTTATTGTCCAGGGCAAAACGAGTTACAGACGTTGAGGCCATGCTTTCTGAGATGGAGGAATTAGGATTCAAACCTGACCTTTCAGTGTGGAATTCTATGCTCAAGTTATATACTAAAATTGAAGATTTCAAGAAGACAGTTTATATATACCAACGAATTCAAGAAGCTGGACTCAAACCAGATGCAGAAACTTACAACACTTTGATAATTATGTACTGTAGAGATCGTTGTCCAGAGCGAGGTTTTTCACTTATGCAAGAAATGCGACAGCAAGGTTTGAATCCTGAGATGGACACTTACAAAAGCCTCATTGCTGCATTTTGTAAAGAGCTGATGGTGGAACAAGCTGAGGAGCTCTTTGAATGCCTGAAGTCAGAGGGTCATAAACTTGATCGCTCTTTCTATCATTTAATGATGAAAATGTATCGAAGCTCTGGCAATTCTTCTAAAGCTGAACAGTTAATACTGAAGATGGAGGAATCAGGAATTCAACCTTCCACTGCAACAATGCATTTGCTGATGACTTCTTATGGGAGCTCAGGACATCCTAGAGAAGCAGACAAAGTGTTGAATGATTTGAAGTCAACTGGTGCAACTCTGAGTACATTACCATATGGTTCAGTTATTGATTCTTATCTTAAGAATGGAGACTACAATATTGGCATTCAAAAGCTTAAAGACATGATTGAAGAGGGTCCAGAACCAGATCACCGGATATGGACCTGCTTCACTCGAGCAGCAAGTTTATGTGATCATATTAGTGAAGCCAAAATTTTATTAACTTCTGTTGCAGATGCTGGTTTTGATCTTCCTTTAAGGCATGGTTTGATCTTAGTTTCATTATTCTTTTGTTTTGTTTGATAGGGAAGATGTCCTTTCCACTTGTCTTTTCTTACAGATATAGCTAATATTATTTTTGTAGGCTTCTGACCGAGCAGTCGGAATCACTAGTTTTGGAGACTGATCAATACCTTGAGCAAATTGCATCTACAGAAGATGATGCAGCATTTAACTTTGTCAATGCTTTGGAAGACCTATTATGGGCTTTTGAGCAACGAGCCACTGCTTCATGGATATTTCAGTTAGCAATTAAGAAGAGCATTTATCGTCATGATGTGTTCAGGTATGTATACTAATAATCTGTGTGGAAATTGAGACCTAACGGAGGGCACAGTTTTTGCTGCTATTTGGAGTGTTGTATTATATACTTACAGATTAAGTAAAGATATGAAATTTCACATGCATGTCAAATTGCACTGTATACTTCCATGGAATGTATTAATTGATTCTATTCTGCTTTTGAATTCAGTTTACGTCTTTCATTGATGGTCATATTTCTGCAGGGTGGCTGACAAGGATTGGGGCGCTGATTTCAGAAAGCTATCTGCTGGAGCTGCTTTGGTTGGTCTAACTTTATGGCTTGACCACATGCAGGTAAAGTTTCCTCTTTTGAAGTTCTTAGTTCTGTGATTGAATAAGATGATTAATAAGCTCATAAAAAAATTATGTTTCCAAATTGTATTTCCTCAGCTCAACTAATTTTTAGCAGAGCATGTCAGTTTAGATTGTTTAGTTACACTGCATATGTAACTTAGTTTTGAATTTTGAAAGTGTAAAGTACATTGAAACCTGGAAGTGTACTTGGTGACTAACTCAAAATTTGATGATCTTATTTGGTAATGCTTTCCCAGAATATACTTGATGTAGGAGTGTCTCTCACCGGATGTGACCTTTATTAGTTACTCTTTGCAATTTTATCTTCTAAACTTGACAAGGTGTGTTAAATATATGGGATCTTTGTTATAGTTATGTTTCTAGATTTGTTTAATGTTGCCTAACCATTCTTTGGATATCAACACCTTGAATATTCTTATCCATGTTATTTCGAAACTGCACTGGGCATTCTGTAAGAAGCCAATAGTTTATCTAAACTTTAACGTAATGCTGATGTCTGCAGGATGCTTCGCTGGAAGGTTTCCCTGAATCCCCAAAATCTATTGTACTAATCACTGGTACTGCAGAATACAACAAGGTTTCTTTGAACAGTACATTGAAGGCATACCTTTGGGAGATGGGCTCTCCATTCCTCCCTTGTAAAACCCAAACAGGAATTCTGATAGCCAAAGGTCATTCCTTACGGATGTGGCTGAAGGACTCCCCATTTTGTTTGGATCTTGAGTTGAAAAATAGAACTATTCTGTCTGAGACAAATTCGATGCACCTTATTGAAGGATGTTTTGTAAGACGTGGACTTGTTCCAGCATATAAGGACATAACTGAGCGGCTTGGGCTGGTACCCCCTAAGAAGTTTTCGAGGCTTGCTTTACTGCCAGATGAGAAAAGAGAGAGAGTTATTAATGCAGACATTGAAGGGCGAAAAGGAAAATTAGTCAAGTCTAATAAAACTGGGATAACAAGAAAGAAGAAAATCACAAACTTTAGGAAGAAAAGGCTTCTTAGGAGGACTCATCCATGAACATCACAGGATGGAGTCTTGATTGCTTACTGGAGAATAAAATGCATCTCAGTTCAGTATGTCTGGAAAATTCTGTCAGAGAGCCAGTGGTGTCTATTCCTGCTTGGGAGGACAAGCGCTTTTGCTGCAGAGATTTAGTCCCACCCTGCATAATCCGTTTGCATAATGAAGCCGAATAGTTACTTGCAACTCCTTTAGCTTCAAGCTCTGGAAATGTAACACTTAAGCATGCTATCATTAGCCACCACCCGCCAGTAAGGTAAAGCTATATGTTTTAAGCTAAAAGTAGAATAATATGAAGGAAAGAGAGAAGATATGAGACTATATAGATAATACACTGCACAATAAATTGGATAGATTAAACTAGTCTACATATTTATAGGCCATGGGGGATATATAGAATTGAGGCTTGACTCATAGATTGACAATTCTTTCTGCAACATGTGAAATTATGAGACCATGATTCTTCAAGTTACCCTGTGACTTTAGTTTGTGTGTGTTGAAATGGGAAATCTGCACAACAATATAGTTTTTAACATCGTCCATTTAAACATGGCATAATCAGCAGGCAGACAGCAGACTGTAGGTTAGAGAAAGGAGTAAGTTTCAAAGACCAATCAAAATTTTCAACTATCAAAATCTCCTTTTTTGTGTTCAAGAACAATCACTTCTTCTGGGTTGATGTATAATCTAGTTGCGATTTGCGAATACCTTGATTAGGAGGGCATACTTGTAAAGGGAAGATCTTTATGCTCTGTAATTAAATAGAAATTTAATGGTGTTCTTGTCTTAGTAGTAAGAGAACTAGAGTATACTTCTGAAAAGAATTAAATTTAGCTGTATATAGTTTAATCAGGTTGCCAGTTGTCTTTTATTCTTTTTACGGAGTATTTATTTTGGAAAATAATTTATATTCTAAAAATTGGTTTGAGTTTAGATTGGTATCTCCGTATCTATCCATGCCTACTCTTTTTTTTTTTTTTTAACATCTAAAATGATACTGTATAAACTACCTAGGACAACATAGAAGTCAAGCTTTCACTCAGATCCTCACTTCTTACTTTTTTGATTGTGTATCCTATGACAGCATTCTTTCACATTAGGTAATTTTTTCTCTCCAAACGAGTTTCTCTGTAATTTATATGGTACGATTATATTTAACTGTTAAGTATTGCTGTGAGGAACCGGATATATGCCGATGGCTTTGGAATTTGTATCCTGTTTCATTGATTGACTAACTATTTATGCCCTTTGTTTTGTTTCAGGTACTGGACTTGTGGCTGTTTTCATCATGTCTGTTGAAAACTTTGCAGGATGGAAATACCCCTCATCGACTTTTCAAATAACTCATAATTCCTACTTTGCTGGATTTCTAGTGTGTAGATTGATCATCTAACTTGTCTCTAGTATTCTCTTCAGTGTATATATCACTGCTCCAGCAGCAGCAGGATCTGGGGTTCATGGAATTAAGGGTTACTCAAATGGTGGGCTATGACAGCTGGTTGATCTTGCCTCCATTTGCTGGGGACATTGGAAGACTGAGCTGATTCTGGTTTATTACAATATTTAGATTTGATAGGAAATGCAATTTCTTCTCCTTGAAAAGATAGAAATCATACTATAATATCTCCACAGGATCGATCCCTTGACATTTGGTTAAGGATGGATGACAGTGCCTCCCACTCAACCGCCCTCCAAGTTCAACCAATTGCTTTGTAGCATGTCTTTTAATTTTGCACTCATTAATCATTTTGTTTGTCAGTTGTTATTTGCTAGTTGTTTTAGTCTCTAATTATTTATCAGTGTAATATACATCATTAACTCCACAAAAAAGTTACTCCGTACAATTTTAATATATTAAGGAACAAAACTATTAAACTCTATTCAAATTTTATTTAGTATATGTGTATTTTAAAAGTTTATTATCTTTGTTTTTTTTTAACTTTTTCAGTTTTGATATTTTATATGCTTCCCTAGCTTTTTCTTTTTCAATTGTGATACATTGTCCTTATTTTTTATACACGAATTTGTTAAAATCAAGTTTTTTATTTTACAAATAAAATATTGAGACTAAAGGAGATTATAATTAATCGGACTCTCGTAGTTTGATGTATCTAGGACTCTATCTGTTAGTTATGTTCTCTGTATTTAGTATGTACTTCTACGCTGTTATTGTTACTGAATACAATCCATTCACTCGTCTGGTATCATACGCCATCTACAATCCTACCTATGGCTTCTCTTCCTCCTACGTCCGATGCTTCATCGGAACGCACCGTCATTGCCGGAACACCGGCTTCTTCCTCTTCAACGGCTCCCCTCACTCTTTCGGCCGCGCATCACTTTGTCTCGTTGAAGCTCACCACCACGAACTACCTTTTTTTACGCACGCAAATGGTCCCGTTTCTTCGCGGACAGGGGTTGCTGGGTTATGTGGACGGCACCATCGGATGCCCGCCGGTGGTGGCTGTCACGGCGAATGGTTCTTCCACGGTTGACAATCCGGCAGCCTTGGCGTGGATACAATAGGACCAGGCTATCCTGTCCATGCTGGTTGCTTCGCTGTCTGACGAGGTTCTTTATCTTGCAGTCGGTCTCTCCACCTCGTGGGATGTCTGGACGGCGATCGAAGGGGCGTTTGGGTCTACCACGCGTGCACGCACCCTCGGTCTTCCCAGCCAATTACAGGGGCTCCGTTAGGGGGATGGCACGCCGGCGGAATACCTCGACCGTGCGAAAGTTCTCGTGGAGCAGCTCGCCATGGCCGGTCGACCGGTCTCCTTGGACGAGCAGAATCTTTATGTTTTCCGGGGATTGCGTCCGGAATTCCGAGCTATGGCGTTGTCCCTCATCACATCAGGTACTCCGGTGTCTATTTCTCAATTGTCAGATTATTTGCTGGCACAACAATTTATTTGCAGTGAAGATCTTCTGCCGGCGATGGAGTCCCAGCCGGCAACAATGTTTTCTCGTCGTCGTGGTGGTCGGCAGTCCGATGGCCGCGGGCAACAGCGCGGTGGTGGAGGCCGGTCTGGCAGAAATGGTCGCGGTGGTGGCCGGGGTCCTCGCTGTCAAATCTGCGGGAGCCATGGTCACTCAGCGGCGTACTGTTTTCGCCGTTATTCCGACTCGCCGCCGGCGTCTCAGGCGAACCTGGTGCAGTCTGGTGGTGCAGGCGGTGATCTGACTTCGCAGGCCTGGTTTCCGGACACGAGTGCTACGCACCATGCGACACCCACGGAGGATGGCTTGGCCGAAACAGAAGCTTACCATGGTGGTGATACGCTCCGGGTTTGTAACGGTGACGGTATGTCAATTTCTCGTATAGGTCATGCCCGTGTTTCGTCTCCTAAGTCTCTTAAATTGTCTAATGTTTTGGTTGTTCCCGGATTGTCAAATTCTTTGCTTTCCGTTCAGAAATTTGCCTGAGATAACTCTTTTTATTTTGAATTCTTTCCCTCTTATTTTGTTGTTAAGGACATCGCCACCAGGGTCACTCTACTTAAAGGGCCCAGTACCGGGGGCTTGTACATGTTGCAACTTCCGAAGTCCGCTCCTGTTGCGCTATTTTCGGCTCGGGCGCCATCCAGTGTCTGGCACAGTCGTCTGGGTCATCCTCACTCTCGGGTGTTGTCTCGGGTTTTACAGAGTTGTCCGGTTAGCAAATTAGATATTGGTAGTAATTCTTTATGTTCGTCGTGTCAGTTAGGGAAGTCTTCCCGTTTTTCCATTGGCTCGTGTTGAGTCTAGTAGTTCTGCTGTATTGGACTTAATTTACACGGACATTTGGGGTCCTGCCCCGGTTTTATCTTCGACTGTTTTTCGGTATTTTGTCTTATTTTTTTGATGATTTTTCGCGTTATTGCCGGTTGTTTCCCTTACGCTTTAAATCTGATCTGTATGTTGTGTTTGACAAATTTCGTTTGCTTGTTGAACGTCTTTTTTCCTGCAAAATTAAGTCTGTGCAATCTGATTTGGGGGGAGAGTTTTGTAAGTTAGGGACTGTCTTTGAGTCGCTTGGCATCTCTCATCGTCTGTCGTGTGCATACACGCACGAGCAAAATGGGCGTGTTGAGCGGCGTCACAGGCATATTGTTGAGACTGGGTTGGCTCTTCTTGCTCAGGGTTCGGTTCCCTTTAAATTTTGGGACTATGCCTTTGAGACGACCGTTTTCTTGATTAATCGTTTACCTTCGTCTGCTCTTGGTTTGGTTAGTCCTTATCGTCGGTTGTTCAATTCTAAGCCCACGTACTCTTATCTCTGGGTCTTTGGGTGCTTGTGTTTCCCATACCTACGACCCTATAATAAGCACAAGTTTGCTTATCGGTCTTCTTCGTGTGTTTTCTTGGGCTATCCGTCCTCGTTTCGTGGTTATCGGTGCATGGACCTCACTACGGGTAAATTGTTTATATGCCGTCATGTTCATTTTGATGAGGGTGTTTTTCCATTTGTCAGGCCTTTCCCTTCGCAGGTTGCCTCTTCTGGTTATGTTGCTCCGTGGGGGGTCAGTCGGGTGGTTCCCAGTCATGCACCGGTGCTTCCTTTCATTGCCACTTTTGCCTCTTTCGCCTCCGCGGTCTGGTGGTGGTCCTTTGTGTTTGTCTGAGCTGCTCCTCGGCGTGGGCGTCCTAAGGCCGGGTCGCCGCCGCCTCAGTCTCATCCGATGTTGCTCCGCCACATGGAACATACTTCACCTCTTCGGGCTCTGTTGGTTAGCGGGGGTGATCCCTCGTGTTATTCCCAAGCTGTTTAGCATTCTGAATGGAGGGTCAGGAGTTCAATGCGCTCCTGCACAATCAGATTTGGAGTCTTGTTCCGACCACGTCTGATATGAATGTTGTGGGTTGCAAGTGGGTCTTCCGGACCAAACGCAAGGCGGATGGGTCCGTTGAGCGGTATAAGGCTCGTCTTGTTGCTAAGGGCTTTAACCAGATCGCCGGGGAGGATTTCTTTGACACTTTTAGTCCCGTGGTCAAGCCCACCACAGTCCGCATGTTGCTTTCTTTGGCGTTGTCTCGCGGCTGGTCTCTTCGACAGTTAGATGTTCACAACCCTTTCCTGAATGGGCGTTTGGCTGAACTGGTTTACATGAAGCAGCCGCCTGGCTATGTTGACCCAAGTTGTCCGGATCATGTCTGCTTGCTCCAACGGTCTCTTTATGGGTTGAAGCAGGCTCCGCGGGCCTGGTTTAAGCGCTTGCATGACTTTCTTCTGTCTGTGGGGTTCAAGGCTTCTAAAACCGATATATCACTATTTTATTATTCTGTTGCAGGGGCTAAAGTGTTTTTGCTCGTCTATGTTGACGATATTTTGCTGATGGGCAGTGATTCGGCTTTGGTTACCGGTCTGTTGAACCGGCTTGCGTCGGCCTTCAAGATCCGGGATCTCGGGACACCGGGTTTCTTTCTTAGCATTGAGATGGTCCCGCATGATAGGGGTTTTATTCTTTCTCAACGTCGGTATATGACGGATATTCTGAAATGGGCTGGTATAAGCCTCTTCTCACGCCGGTTGCGGTGGCCCGTTCTGCTGTGTCCTCTGATGATCCGTTTGATAATCCTACGCAGTTTCGGCGTCTCTCGGGTGCCCTTCAGTACTTAACTGTGACGCGCCCTGGTCTGTCTTTTGTTGTGAATTGTCTTTGTCAGCATTTGCACTCTCCGAATGTCACGCACTGGGTGCTTCTTAAGCGTGTTTTGCAGTATGTCAAAGGCACTGTTCAGTTTGGGTTGTGTCTCTCTCTGTCTTCATCCATGACGTTGCATGCCTTTTCTAATTCGGACTGGGCTGGCGACCCGGTGGATCGCAAGTCCACTAGTGGTTTTGCGGTCTATCTTGGTTGTAATCTGGTTTCTTGGGTTTGCCGTAAGCAACGCACGATTGCTCGCTCGTCTACTGAGGCGGAATATAAAGGGCTCGCTGATGTTGCTGCTGAGGTCACCTGGGTTGTTTCTCTTCTTAATGAGATTGGCTTGCCCTTACCTGGTCCTCCGTCTTTGTGGTGTGATAACTTGGGTGCCACTTATCTCTGCGCCAACCCTGTTTTTCATGCTCGCACGAAGCATGTTGAAGTGGATTATCACTTTGTTCATGACAAGGTGGTCTTGGGTTCTCTACAGGTTCACTTTGTGTCTACACAGGATCAGGTTGCTGATATCTTTACTAAACCGTTGTCTACCAAGCAGTTCGAGTCCTTGCGTGACAAGATTAATGTTGTCTCCGTTCCTTAAGCTTGCGGGGGTGTAATAGGACTCTCGTAGTTTGATGTATCTAGGACTCTATCTGTTAGTTATGTTCTCTGTATTTTGTATGTACTTCTACGCTGTTATTATTACTGAATACAATTCATTCACTCATCATAATTAAAGAAGAAATATTAAGAAGTACTAAAATACTCATCTATTAAATAAAATTTTAATTGAGTTTAATAATTTTGATGCTCTGATCTATAGGTTAAAATTGTAGTAACTTTTTTGAGGAGTTAGGGGTATTGCGACGGTAAAAAGTTAAATACTACAACGGTTAGTAAGGAACAATTGAGGATGAAAAATGCATTTTTCTCTATTTTAAATAGAGTAATTAATTAACACTCATTTTAAAATAAACAAGATATTTCAACAACCAAAAAGAAGAGTGAAATGGTAATAAATCCGTTAACACGGTTTGATTGTTGCCAAGATGCCTCCAATTGCAAAGCAATTGGTTGACCCTATCAACTTCTGGATTCTCATTCCGTTGATTTTCTTCTTCTAATATTAGGGTCATACAATCTTCTCTCACTTTCAAAATGTTATATCACTAAATTTGTAATTATTCACTATTCACTATCTATCTATACAATTCTCTCTCATCTT